GCCCTCAGCGCCCGGTGCCCGCCAGCTCGGCGGTGACACCGATGGTGGCGCTTCAAGAGTCAGAAATAGCGAATAATTCGCCCAGGGAGTCCTGGGGAATGGGCAGGGGTTGTGAAACGGGGTCTTGGCTGTGGTTGAGACGGCCTCAAAGGAGGGAGGCTGAGCTCCCTCAAAGGGCCTTTGGTAAACTGTTGGGGTCTTCCTGTTGAGTGATGTCTGAAAACCGCCAACCGATTATTTTTAAAATTTAAAAAGTTTAATAGTAATAAAATGGTTATAAAAATATTAATATAATTAGAGTAATAATAATTTGGACAATTTGGATTAGGACAATACGAGACAATAAAAACAAAGAGTTACAGACCAGTCCGGGTACCTTTTTCTGGGCAAAATAAGCCTGAAAAAGGACACACGTTAACAGAGGATTAACCCTTCAAAACAATAACCTGTTGCATATTCATACACCTCATCCATGATGCATAAATTCCGTTCAAACACAGGATTCTGTCTGGGCAGTGTCAGCTCCTTCTGAACTCTTAACTGCATCTTCAGGGCTGAGTGAGGCAGGAAGAAATTTGTTTCTTCTGATAAGAGAGCAATAAATTCTTTTTCTCTGAAATATTTAGGTGTCCTGTGGATGCCATCCCAGTGAGAGTCCTTCCTCTTAAAAAAAAATCTTACATAGGTTTGTTTCTATTTTAACATTGTAACTTAAAACTATATTTAACACACTACTTAAGAAAATTGATACAGCCTAACTTTCTAACATAACACATATAATATTCATTTGAATATTTGCCAAAAGCCAATCATAAAATGTGCATTTTTCACAGTGTCTCTTGTCACCTGCTATGTTTCCTGTCACCTGGCTGGAGCCACACAGTGTAAATAGGAGCATGGATGTGACTATTCACAAGTCCAGGGCAGCAGACAAGTCTTGCTTGGCACCAAACCTTTGGTGAATTTTGTTTAAAATGGAACGGGGGCACCTCCCCAGAGCCCCCAAAGGANAGTTTGGGGTCATTTTCAGCAGGAGGAGCCCCCAGGTCTCTGCCCTGCAGCAGCTGCTTGGACAAGGGGAAATGGGCTCAGGGTGGGCACCAGGAGGAATTTCTGCATGGAAAGGGTGCTCAGGCCTTGGAACTGCTCAGGGACGTTTGCAGTGCCCATCCCTGTGTCCTGATGTGGCACTGGGTGCCCTGGGCTGGGCACAAGGTGGGCATTGGGCACAGCTGGGCTGGGAAGGTTTTTCCAAGCTGGATCCTGGACAAGCAGAGCCCCAGGCCCAGCCCCTGCACCCCAGGGACCTTGGGGTGACCCCAGAGCTCAGTGAAGGAACCCCCACACAGAGGGGACACCTGGAGACATCCCTGAGCTTGGGGACAATTTCATGGCACCTTCCAAACGCACAACAAATCTCCTGAGAGCTTTTACCTTCCCTAGCACAGCTTCACACCTTCCCTGCAAGCCCAGCACACAACCAGAACCCCAGGCAGGATTTCTGCCCCAAAACTCAGCCAAACCTGGGGAGTCTGGAGCTGCAGTTTGACCAGAGTGCCTGGCACTGCTGCTGAGCACACAGGGCTGCCAGAGCTGGGGTTCTGGCAGGGATTTGCTCATCCTTTCCTCCTTTTTCCCGGCTCTGGGCAAGGTGCAGCCTGCAGGGGGGAGAGGGCTCAGTGCAGAATAAGTTCAGCCCTTAAGTGGATTCTGGAGGGGCTCAGAGAGGCTGGAAAAGAGCTGATCCCACCTCTACCCTCTCCTGGAGACCCTGCCACTGCTCTTTCAAAACAAAATGTTAAAATTACACACAGAGCAACTGCCTGCAAGCCAGCAAATTATTTCTTAAATATCTCTACCTGCACTGAATCTCCTGAACACAGCAGCTCCCCTGATGCCTTTCACGCTGTAAACACGAGGTCCAACTGAATTTATTTATTAAAACATCCCTTGCAAGTCCCAGCCGCAGGTTTCCATTTACATTCGCTCCCCAGGCAGCCTTTTCAAGGCTTGTTTGAACAGATCCCTCTTCCAGGAGGGTTCCCAAGCCTCAGCTCCTCCTCCTCTCCGAGAGGGGGATTTATCCCGAGCTGGGAAGGGCGAGCGGAGCTCTCAGAGCTCAGCGTTTCGCACCTGTGGAGTTTTCCTCTCTCATTCCCGCCCCGTATTCCGAACTTCCCTTTTCTCCACCCTCCGTGCCCGGCCCAGGACAGCGACAAATTTTTGTACAGCTGGGACAGTGGGAGGTAAAAATTCACTTTTCACATGTGCAACTCTGCTGAACGGGGGCAGCTCAGCCCCTGAGCGTGTCGGAAATCACCGCAAACACCGAAAAACCACCGCAAACACCGAAAAACCCCCGGTGCCTC